TAAATTACATGAGTACTTACTTCATGTAGCTGTTGTTGTTGATTGTTATTCGAGAGAGATTCTTGATTCTCAGAAGATTTTAAACTGTAGTTTATTGGCTGCTCAGATTCTTCATTTGTTGTTAATTTTCCTATCGGCATAACGACATAATCTGTTTTATTCCACTTAAAAAAATTTAGAAAATAACAAACATTTAGTAGACTTTAGTATGGATTATAGTTTAGTTTGTAGTCTGGAATAAACTATAGTCGGGACTATAGAATAAGCTAAAGTCTAGACTATGGATAAATTATGGTCTGAGCTATGGATAAACTATAGTCTGAAATATAGTCTGGACTATAGTTTGGACTATAGAATAAACTATAGTCTGGCCAATAGAATATACTATATATAGTCTGGCCAATAGAATATATGTATACTATAGTATGGCCTTTAGTAGTCTATTCTACTTTATAGGCTGTACTATAGAATAGACTAAGTTTGGACTGTAGGACTAAAGTCTGGACTATCAGCTATTGCAAATGTACCTAACAAACTGATTTTACCATTAATTCATGTTAACAAATTACAAATATTTTGTAGGTATTTAACATTTTCAAATTCACTATAAAAGCAATTATTTTTAGTGTTTTTTTAATAAATATGCTAAATTTCTTTAACTAGACATTTATAAATTATCTGCATAGGATTTACTCTCGGACTGATAGCTTAATTTTTTAACTAAATATGAATGCAGGGTTGCTGAGTGTTAAATATGCCATAACTAAGTATGTCATGGTAAGATTCGATCCAGCCAAACATACATACATTATATTTATTTCTTTATTGTTTGCAAAATATGTCGGTATTTACTTACATTTTGCATTTCGGCAGCCTCTCTCTGTTGCATTTGATGTCTTTGAAAAACAGTCTTTATCTTTAATTTGTGTGTATGCAATAAACTCAAATCCGATGTTGTGTCCAGCGTTATTTGGGAACCTGGTGTTGGGGTTATCATTTCGGATTTCCCTTCATGCTTAAATGAGCAACCGGCATTTGTAGTTGTACGATTACGATTGTTACGGTGGGTAATTTTACGATTGCGCATTAAACGATCGCGTCGTTCCAATAGAGCATTAACTTTCATATCGTGCAGTTTTTCCAATAGATCTGGATGGCGTCTCTAGATAACGGTAATTAAAAATTTTTACATTCAAAAAACTGCTGTTACGTAAATAGTATATGCATGCATTCCAAAGCTACACAAATTTAATCACTTCTGAACTTTCTAAATAAAAACTGCTGTAGAAATAGAACGGAACCGTTTTTGCCACAAATAAGCCTAGCTAGGTATAATCAATTAATAAGGATTTAATTAATAAAACTAACCTTTATATGCATATGAAAATTTCCCGTTGATCGAACACTGCCCCTATAGACACGATCTGGGGGACAGTGACAACATTTGACGGTAACATTTTCACCATCTTGTGTTTGTATTTGATACAATTCACCATTCAAAATGTATGGAATATGTACATGACGTACGTGTATTTTACTTAAATCCCTCGTATCTGAATATTGAGTAGAATTTAAAAGACCACTATTATCACCACCAATCACCAAACTATTGTTTTGTTGCATCGTCGACATCACATTTTGATTGTTATTTACATCGCAAAATGTTGCAGTAGATATTTCACTAGTATTTTCACTATTTTTTAAGGGCACTTGAACTTTAGTTATGATGGCAGAGGAGGAGGAAGATTGCATAGCTTCAGCAGAATTTAATAAGTCGGTTATAATATTTGTGTCATCATTAGATGTTTCTTCCGATACCATGTGATTCATAATTTTAAATTTAAAACCAAGTTTTACCTAAGCCCGCTTGCAACGGATAACAATTTGTAAATAAATTGTCAATTATTTTAAAGAACATTTTTTCGGTTGCTAACTTTGAGTTTCGAGTTTATCTCTTGCCCTTGAAATAGAGAACCAAAATTCGAATCAATTCGTTTTTTGGTTGTTTTTTTTTTCCTGCCATTTACTATCCCTTTTGTTTGTGTTGTTAATATCATTTTGATGTTTTTGTTGTTATTTTTGTTTTGTACAAATTCTCATTTCATCCAATATTTTTTTAGTACTCACACACGATGCATCCCATAGAACATGCAAAAAAATCTTTACAAACCGTTAACTTTTTTCAAGAATGCGAAAGGATTGCCAGGCTGCAATAAAATGTGAACTTGATGGCACATTATCAAAGAAGTCGCTGTATTTTTCAAGACAATTTATCCCGCCGCTGACCGGTATGACGACTTTAGCCCTGTGTATGTTGACTCAGTTTGAGTCAAAGTCAAATTAGAATATTAATTCGATTAAATAATGCCAACTACTACTTATGTACGTACATATGTAGTTTAAATTTTGCGTTATTGCCATAATACCGTGTAATACCCCATTTACACTTACAGCGAAATCTAGTAGATTTGATTTAAAATCTTGTTCAAAATCTAGACCGTTTGCACTTCTTTTTGACATTAGGAATATCAGAAAAGAACACAATTGTTCTATCAAATAATTGTGTTTCGAAGTTAAATTAAACCGAAATTAGAATAAATTAGTTCTTTTTTATTTTCATAAGCTTTGGTTTCACATTCAGAAAGTGCCAAATTTTGCTTTTGTGAAATATTTCATTTGCACAAAAAGTACGTTTTGAAAAAAGTACCAAATTATTCCCGAATTTGGCCCTAAGTAGGGCTTGGAATCACAGTTCCAAAAACAACACCATTTAGTGTACCTAAAACTGACAATTTGTAAATTTTTTTTTTTAAATTGGCTCGTAGAATTCTATTAATAAATATTCATACATATGTAGGTACAAACCAATAAAAAGAAAACAATATTTTACAAATATTCCGTGTTTAAATCTATATAGCACAGATATAACTCAAACGATTCAAATCTGCATTCATTTCTTCCGGAAAAATTGTACTGAATTCGCTGCAGTTTTTCACACCAATCACGCCAGTGACCCGTGTGATGACTTTTTGCGATAAAAAAGTCGTCATACCAAGTCTTCATCTTACTTACTTGACGGACGGACGGACTGACGACGGACGACGGACGGACGGACGGACGGACGACGGACGGACGACGGACGGACGGACGGACGGGGGGACGGACGGACGGACGGACGGACGGACGGACGGACGGACGGACGGACGGACGGACGGACGGACGGACGGACGGACGGACGGACGGACGGACGGACGGACGGACGGACGGACGGACGGACGGACGAGGACGGACGGACGGACGGACGGACGGACGGACGGACGGACGGACGGACGGACGGACGGACGGACGGACGGACGGACGGACGGACGGACGGACGACGGACGGACGGACGGACGGACGGACGGACGGACGGACGGACGGACGGACGGACGGACGGACGGACGGACGGACGGACGGACGGACGGACGGGACGGACGGACGGACGGACGGACGGACGGACGGACGGACGGACGGACGACGGACGGGACGGACGACGGACTACTTACTTACTACTTACTACTACTTACTTACTTACTTACTTACTTACTTACTTACTTACTTACTACTACTTACTTATTAATTACTTACTTACTGGACTTACTTACTTACTTACTTTACTTACTTACTTACTTACTTACGTACTTACTTACGTTACTACGTACTTACTTTCTTACTTATTACTTACTTACTTACTTACTTCTTACTTACTACTTCCTTACTTAATTACTTACTTACTTACTTACCTACGTACTTACTTACTTACTTACTTACTTACTTACTTACTTACTTACTTACTTACTTACTTACTTACCTTACTTACTTACCTACTTACTTACTTTACTTACTTACTTACTTACTACTACTATTTGGATATTACAATTTTTTCGATTATTTGATATGTTCGTGTAAAAATTAGAAACAACCGTTATTAGATGAAGCAGAGTTGCTTTTAAACTCCCCACAAAACTTGGCACAACTTTATTCATGATAATTGTCCAATTTGACATTTATTTGTGGATTGTATTGTTTTTACCGTCACTGACAGTCTTGGTAGAATTCAGGTACGGTAGCACGACTAACATTTTTTTCGATAAATTGAGAAATATTACTTAATAAAAATATATTAATTTTATTTTAGAAAAACAATGGCTTTCGGTGATTATCCAGCTGAATATAACCCTAAGGTACATGGACCTTATGATCCAGCACGCTATTATGGCAAAGGTAATAAAATGACGACTATAAAACCGAAAACACATTATTACATTACGTAATATAAAGAAACGAACTAAAGAATCCTTGTCTATTTTTCTTGCAGCTGATGTACCATTGGGTCAAGTAAAATTGGGCGAATTGGGTGCCTGGATTTCACGCCGTAGCAAGACTCCAAGTGCTATTGCTGGTGCCATGAGCCGTGCCTGGTGGCGTTGGCAACACAAATATGTCCAACCCAAGCGCGCTGGTATTGCTCCCTTCTTCCAAATCACCGCTGTCGCTATGACATTCTTCTATACCATTAACTACGGCAAGATGAGACACCACAGAAATTACAAACATCATTAAACATTTGAAGGCCTGGCCTTAGCATTAAACCCGGTTAGCGCTTTTTGAGCATGTATAACATGTTTAATTGTTGCAGCGGGAACGAAAAAGATAAGCAAGTGTTTTTGTGTAACATTTGCTCATACTCTATTAATAACATTTCACGTATTTAATTAATAAAGAACTTTAAATGTTTTGGAAAGAATAAAAAACTATAAATCCAAATTGAGAGCACATACATTTTTTCCAAAAGTTACCTAACCTCAAAAAAAGTTAAATTGATTAAATCAAGTTAGATAGTAGACAAAAAGAGTTTTTTGCAGTTTTCTGCATAAAGATGTTACAAGTAAAAAATATATTAGGGGTTTGCAAAATTCATCTATATAATTAAAAAAGTTATGCATAAAAAATAGCCTGTTTTCCATCTGAAGAGTTGCCGGACTGATTATTCAAAATAGAATTTGACAGCCTGACTTATGGGAGAATTTTTTTACATATGGTTTCTGACAGTTAAGAATTAAATTCGATAAGCATAAACTCAATCAGCTGTTGAAGTAAGTACATCTTGTATGAATTCATCTTGTGAAACTGTAGTTTTGTTTACATTTTATATACGTATTTGCGGTATTTTTTTACAGTTGCTGGCAGCAGATATGTTAAATGCAAAAGAAATCTTGGATTTATTAGAAAAATATCCAGAAGGTTATCTTAGGCCGGACCATTATCTATTTACGGCAAGTAATTCAAATCTTTTGGAAACCTATAAAAAACTTGGAGCAATAAGCAGCAAAGAAGATGAACTACTAAATGTTTCACACAATAGTTGCGGCGCCAGTGAGATTTTTTGCAATATTCTTGGCTGCTGCATGATCTTCGATAGTGTAGCTTCTTACCAGAGCCATTACAATGTAATGCATCGTTTTATTTGTGCCGAATGCAAAAAATCTTTGCCTACGGAACATTTATTAGATTTACACATATCAGAGCACCATGATTCCTACTTCAAGGCTAGAGTAGATAGAGGTGAACGTTTATTTAAATGCTATTTGGAGGAATGTAAAGAAATATTTGAAAATGCTATGCAACGCAAAGAGCATTGTATAAAACAACATAAATTTCCCAGTAATTTTAGATTTGATCAAATGGTCAAAAATGGCCAACATAAAAAGGATAAAGCATCACAGAATAGCTCCAAACAAATGGCAATGGAGGTGGTTGAAGCTTTAAAATCGAAAGAGTTTCAACATAAGGAATTGAAAATGATTTCATTTGGCCATCAAAAAGAACGTACATTTCGTCCTAGAAATGGTCCAAAACCCAAACCCGATGCCGGCAAGACTTTGGAAAATATGAATACTTTGAAAGAAGCTTTGGAATCAATGAACTGATATAGTATACATTTGTTATTACATTTTTTAAAATATTTATTGAATAAACATACAAAATTAAAATCTAAAGCTTTTACTTATTCTTTGAGCTAATCCTGTAACAAAATAAACAACAAAATTAATATTAATATTGACAAAAGAAAATTGTAGCATTAACTTACTTGCTGCTGGAATTGGCATTGATGTAGTGATATAAAACCACTAGCAGGAATAAGAATACTCCCAAAACATTGGAGAATATGGCTAATTGGACATCTGTAATCATATTGTGGTAGGGGCTGTCTACGCTAGAAGTAAAGAAAATTTTGGACACGTCATATACTCTGAGTATCTTTATCAAATGATATTAAAATGCTGCTTATTAGCAGATTTTAAATCATATTTCAATCTACTGGTTTATTTTAGTTTTATATTTTAATATTTAATCATTTTTTTGCACCTTTTTGTGGATAAATAAAAAAATATTAATAATTTTATGCCGGTTTGCACAGTTTGTTTTTTCTTTTTTTTGTTGATAGAATATTCTGTTTTTCACAACAGTGATGGTAATTTAGCTATTTTATTGAGGCATGTTTAGCATTAGTGAGAATTATAGCGATTTCTTCAGCGTTGTAATTGTTAATAAGTCTAAAGTTTAGACATTTTTTTTAGGAATTAGGAACCGCTTTTCATTTTTCTTTTTTTATATCTACTTTGTATAACAGATCATTGGCCTGGCGAAAAGATATAGGTAAGAAATTTTTCACGTAATTTAAGCAAATAATCATTTATCAACTGGAATGGATATCATAATTTACGACACGGCCACACATCAAATTTGCCTGACTCAAACGGTAAGTTTTTATATTAGGTTAGTGAAAAAACTCACATGTATATATGCGGTGTGAGTTTTTTTTACTAACACAATCAAAAAACTTACCGTTTGAGGCGCTTTACAGTAAACCTCCAAACATTTCTAAATCCTGAAAAAATATTTTATTTACTTTAGTTGGCAACCTTTTGTCAGTCTCAAATGAAATTTACTGATTTGTTTACAAATAAAAGTATTGAAATGGTTTGTTTTGTTTGCACAGAAAATGCTAATCAAACTTTAGCAATATTTCGAGATGGGGAAATTAATTCCAAAATTGCTGTAATTATTGAAAAACATCTACGTCTAAAAGCAAGTAGAGAAACAATAAAAATACACTTGAAACGAGATTTTGATAGCCAGAAAATTTCTTTACAGCCACAGCTAATTGAGAAGCAGGAGGAAGCTTTGGAGATATGCAATCAATGTTGGGAAAAACTACGTGACTTTAATGAGTTCTTTGAATATGTGGCAAAAGTTCACAAAGAACAAACGGAATATTTACCGGGACAATTGGAAAATATTCATCGCCCGTATCCTTCAGCAATTGTTCCGCCAAATATTTTGCTGGATGAAATACATATATTGGAACCGCATATAAAAACAGAAACATTGCAGGAAAATTTAGATGATAATGCGGAATTGCATTTTTTTGAAACTAACGGTGTTTCTACAGAAAATCCACTTTTAGAAGTGACTTCAGAATATGATAATGATGGAATGGAAGAAGAATTCATTAACATAGATACCAAAAACAAGAATGAAAAACAGAAAAATACTAAACCAAGAAGATCTAAAAGGTTATCCAAAAGGTCTAAAACAACTGAAGTAAACGCTGTTGATGAATACAATGAACAGTCATTAGCTTCCCTACTAGATAATATTAAACGTACGTACTATGCAAACAACGAATTAACGGAAAGCCCGGAAAAGAAAACTTTACTATCTCGTTATCTTTTAGCAATCGTTCCTACAAATATTTCGCTGGATGAGAAACATATATTGGAACCGTATGTAAAAACAGAAACATTGGAGGAAACTTTAGATGATAATGTGGAATTGCATTTTTTTGAACCTGACGATGTTACTACCGAAAATCCACTTTTAGAACTGACTCCAGAAGATAATAATAGCAGAATGGAAGAATTCATTAACATAGGGACGATAAACAAGAATGAAAAACAGGAAAATAATAAAACAAGTAGATCTGAAGATAGTTTTGAATCGTACGATGCAAACAACGAATTAAAGGAAGGTCCGGTAAAGAAAAAGAAGACAAAAAGAACTTCACTATCCCGTACGGAAGCCAAGCGTACAATAAAAGCTGATAATAAAACCAATGAACCAAAACATAAAAAAGGTCATGTGCTATTAGAGGAAAATTATGATTTCATCAAAAAACACATAAAAATGTTTTGTCAAATGTGTTTCTATATTGGTGAAGATTATACAAATTTAACAAAACATTATAAAGAGAAACATGCTGATGTTAAACCTTTCATAAGATGCTGCGAACGTAAATTGGATTGTCCGTCAGATATTTTACAACATGCTTACTTCCATGAAGACCCGGAACATTTTAAGTGTCAAATATGTGGTAAAACGTTTATAAATAACTGTGGACTTAAAGATCATATTATGAATCATCACGAACCAGAAGAAAATCTACCCTTTGGCTGTGATGAATGTCCGCGCAGATTTTCAAGAAGAAAAGTATTGGAACGTCATAAAGCTAAACATATACCCAAAGCGGAAAGATCACACTTTTGCGAGATATGTCAACCGCCGAAAGCGTAATTATGAGTTTATAGTTTTATTATGAAACAAATATACAAAAAGGTTTTTATTTACAGATTTGCTAGTGATTACATTTTACAGATACACATCAAATCTCGTCATACAAATGCCTCCAATATTTGTCATGTATGCGCTAAAAAAATACTTGATAAAAAAACTTTTGAAAAACATGTGCGTTCACATTTTGTGACAAGCGGTTCGCGTATTAAATGCCCGCGAAAAGGTTGCGGAAGTTGGCTTAAGGATAAACATAATTTGCAACTACATTTAAGAAGTCTTCACAAACCAGCGAAATTCGAGTGCCCCGAATGTGGGCGTATATGTAAAAATAAACATTCTTTAACATGTCATTTAAGAAATACACATTCCAACCAAATCTTTACGTGTGATGAGTGTCAAAAGAACTTTAAAAGTGCTATGTCGTTAAAGGTAAGTTTTCACTTAAGTACAAACGATAATTATATTATGTATTGTTTATTTTTACTAAAATTTTTTAGGAACATATGGCCAGTCACACGGGCGTACCTCTGTACAGTTGTCCATTTTGTACCAAAACTTTCAATTTCAGGGCAAATATGTATACACATAGGAAGAAAGTACATCCTTTAGAATATCATTTAGTTCACAAATCCAAAATAGATTTTATGTCCAATTTTTCCATTTGAATAAAGGGGAAAATTCTATAAATCGACTTTTGAGTAATCCATTGCTGAAAAAAGGTAACAAATGATAAAATCTATACAGGATGCACTAAGGGACCTTTTGTTACTTTTTCGTTCTTCAACTGGTTCTTTCTCAGTTTTATATAATGTATATTGATCCTAGAAACATAAAACTAAGCATTCAGGGACTTGAGTAAATGAAAATCGCAAATTGAGTATTTTCTGACACTTTTTCGTTTTTTAACTGGTACTTTTTGAATATTATAGGAACCTAAAAACTAAATTGGTTGTATAAATATTTGATGGGAGGAATTTCTGGTTGAAAATTAAACATGTTGATTTAATGAAAATCTATAAAAAGGGACTTTGTATTACATTTTTAATCTTCAACTTGAGACTAACTGCCTTATTCATAAACATTTATCAAAGGTTTATAGAACAAATTTTGTATGAAAATTTGATTTATAAACCTTTGATAAAAGTTTATGAATAAGACCCTAAATCATAATTTTCTGTAATATTGATTTGAACCGAGGACCTTCAGTTCCCTCCCAGAGATCTCAAAAATTCCGTTATTTTTTAGCATATCGCGGGAAAAATAATTAACATTTTTGTTAGTGTGCGTCTGGTCCACAAAACGTATTATAAGAAATATATACATATTTCAAATAATTCTGAAATACCAAACCAAATACGAAACTATTTTTTAAATATTTTTCTGTATACGTTAAAAATTACGACAATTTTGACAGCCACATACATATTTCCATAAAAAACGAAAATAATATGACTCTTAACCCACTAAAAATCAAAAAAATCCACAAAAATTTTGCAAAAAAACAAAGATATTTTATTTTTCAAAAATTATACTGAGGTCAGGATTTTCAACAGAAAAGATTTTTGTGTGTGTTCTGTCCATTAATACGGGACAAGCTAATGTATGTTGACTTAAAATTTTTAGCAATTGTAACTTTCCTAAACCTGCAAACATTTTCCAAACCCTGAAAAAATATTTTATTTACTTGATATGGCAACCTCGTGGCAATCATAAGTGAAATTTACTGATTTGTTTACAAATAAAAGAATTGAAAGTTTTTATAAAAATGATTTGTTTTGTTTGCACAGAAAATGCTAATCAAACTTTAGCAATATTTCGAGATGGGGAAATTAATTCCAAAATTGCTGTAATTATTGAAAAACATCTACGTCTAAAGGCAAGTAAAGAAAAAATACTTGACGAAACGAGATTTTAATAGCCAGAACATTTCTTTACAGCCACAGCTAATGGAGAAGCAGGAGGAAGCCTTGGAAATTTGCAATCAATGTTGGGAAAAACTACGTGACTTTAATGAGTTCTTTGAATATGTGGCAAAAGTTCACAAAGATCAAACGAAATATTTACCGGAACAATTGCTGGAAGATACGGGCGGTGAGCTGGATGAGAAACATACATGGGAACCGCATATAAAAACAGAAACATTGGAGGAAACTTTAGATGACAATGTGGAATTGCATTTTTTTGAAACTGACGATGTTTTTACTGAAAATCCACTTTTAGAACTGACTCCTGAAGATGATGATGGAATGGAAGAATTGATTAATAACGAGACCAGAAACAATGAAAAACAGAAAAATACCAAAACAAGAAGATCTAAAAAAATATCCAAAAGGCCTAAAACACCTGAAGTAAGTGCTGATGATGAAGACAATGAACAGTCATTAGCTTCCCTACTTGATGATATTAAACATGAAGATAGTGATGAATTGTACGATGCAAACAACGAATTAAAGGAAAGTCCGGAAAAGAAAAAGAAGACAAAAAGAACTTCACTACCTCGTACGGAAGCCAAGCGTACAAAGAAAGCTGCTGATAAAACTAATGAACCAAAACGTAGAAAGGGTCATGTGCTATTAGAAGAAAATGATGGCCTTATCAAAAAACACATAAAAATGTTGTGTCAAATGTGTTCCTATATTGGTGAAGATTTTTCAAATTTAATAAAACATTATAAAGAGGAGCATGCCGGTGTTAAACCCTTCATAAAATGCTGCGAACGTAAATTGGATTGTCCGTCAGATATTTTACAACATGCTTACTTCCATGAAGATCCGGAACATTTTAAGTGTCAAATATGTGGTAAAACGTTTATAAATAACTCTGGACTTAAAGACCATTTTATGAAACATCACGAACCCGAAGAAAATCTCCCCTATGGCTGTGATGAATGTCCGCGTAGATTTTCCAGAAAAAATCTATTGGCGCATCATAAAGCTAAACATATACCCAAAACTGAAAGATCACACTTTTGCGAGATATGTCAACCGCCGAAAGCGTAATTATGAGTTTAGGGTTTTATTATGAAACAAATATACAAAAAGGTTTTTATTTACAGATTTGCTAGTGAGTACATTTTACAGATACACATAAAATCACGTCATACAAAAGCTTCCAATATTTGTCATGTTTGCGCTAAAGAAATACGAGATAAACAAGCTTTTGAAAAACATGTGCGTTTACATTTCGAGACAAGTGGTCCGCGTATTAAATGCCCGCGAGAAGGTTGCGAAAGTTGGCTTAAGGATGAAGATAATTTGAAACAACATTTAAGGCGTTTCCACAATCAAGCGAAATTCGAGTGTCCCGAATGTGGACGTATATGTAAAAATAAACATTCTTTAACATGCCATTTAAGAAATACACATTCCACCCAAATCTTTACGTGTGAAGAGTGTCAAAAGAACTTTAAAAGTGCTTTGTCTTTAAAGGTAAGTTTTCACTTTAGTTCAAATGAAAATTATAGTATGTATGGTATATTATTTTCAGGAACATATGGCCGGTCACACGGGCGAACCTTTGTACAGTTGTCCATTTTGTACCAGAACTTTCAATTCCAAGGCAAATATGTATTCACATAAGAAAAAAGCTCATCCTGTAGAGTGGGATTTAGTTAACAAATCCAAAATGGGTTTTATATAATACGTTTATTTTTTATTTTGTTTGTTATTTTAAATTAATAAAGTATTTATTAAGAACAAGTAATGATTGTTTTGAATTTTGTATTATTAGGAAAAAAAACTGCCGTTTTTGCAGTGATGCCAGCTGAAGTTTAAAATTTTTTGTTAATAATTTGCTATGAATGCCAAAAATAGAAGAATAAAATAATAGTTTTGTTCCCGTATTCGATAATTATGTAAAATTTTTGCAAATTTTTAAACGTTTTTAATTGTCAACTGAAAAAACATAGCTAGATAGCAAAAGAGTTAATTTCAAAATATCTTTAATGTAGCATTCGACAAATCACCCATGGGCAATTTTTCCATTTACATTTTTAGAGTTAACTAGATAAATTGTTTTACAGATCATTAAAAAAGTTATCAAACATCAGCTGTGCTGGTGACCTTGAAATATGCCATAAAAAGTTACTGAATAAAATTCTAATTGAAAAGCACGTGAACACACCTAATACAAGTATTGGGGAAAATTATATCAGTCAGAAAACAACAAAAATATTTGTTTACAAACAATTAAAACGTTTGTTAACAAATAAATGTTAATAAATTTTATTTAATTAAACACTAACGACATGTTATGTTGTGTTTGTTTGTTGGAACAATCAAAAACGTTGGCTGTTTTTGATGTAACAGATGAAAGTCTTAATATTGCTGAAATTGTACATCAGCATCTTTGGTTCAAGGTACCTAAATATGTACATCTTTCTATTTAAATTGTAAATATATTAATTATTCTTAAATTAAATCTTTATAATCCATCCCAGCCTACTCCAAACCATGATAATCCCACACAAATCTGTATCCATTGTTGGGATAAAATCAAAGATTTTCACGACTTTTATCAAACAGTAGAAAAATCCCATAAACTATTTGAAAATCAGACCAATGATATTAAGGAGGAAAAACCAAATGTTATTAAACAGGAGCAGGATGTATTTGAAGAGAATTTAATGCAAGTGGAGGTGGAAATTGATGTAAATGCTAGCGGTGAACATGGTAGGGGTGAAGTAATCAAAGAGAATCCCCTAGAAGCTGAACGTATTGATGAAGACATTGCGTTGGAACAGGAGTCGGAAGATGATAGTGAAAGTTCTTTTAATTATGGCGAAAACTCCGAAATAAGTGAAGGTGATGAAAGTTCTGCTGAAGAAGATAAGACAAAGGATGTAAAAAGCAAGAAAGGAAATCTTGAAAAGGATAATAACATAGAAAAAGTGGCTAAAAGAAAAAAGTTTAATAAAACGGAAAAGAAAACTGGGAACTCTTCAAGTAAAAAGAAATGGACAGATAAATTTCTAGATCCCATACTAACGGAACAAATGATTAAAAAACATATTAATATGATTTGTGATTTATGTGTGTTTGTGGGGGCATCATTTCCCGACATGGTGAGTCATTTTAAGAAATACCATCCCAAAGTAAGGCCCTATATTATGTGCTGCGATCGTAAATTTACTAAGCGTTATTATGTAGCACAACATGCTCTCAAACATGAAGATCCAAATTATTTCCGGTAGGCTCTAAAATTAAGAAAATAGAGTTAAAATTTAAACAAAATTACACTTTATTGTTTCAGATGTGAACAGTGCAATAAGTCCTTTACAACCACTTGTAGTCTTAGAACACATAATTTATCTTATCATGCACCCGAAGAAGAACTTTTACATTCTTGCGAATCATGTCCAAGGAAATTTGCTCGACGTAATTTATTGGAACTACATAGACCTGTACATATACCCAAAGAGGATTGGAACTTCTTTTGCACTAAATGTCCAACACAAAAGGCGTAAGTTTGCTTAATAATAACAAGTAACTTAAAATTAACTTCCTATTATTAGATTTGCTACGGCCTATTTGTTAAATATCCATAATGGCATGAATCACAAGAAAGCAGCCAACATTTGCCATGTCTGCGCCAAAGAAATAAAAGATAAACATGCTTTTGAAAAACATGTACGGCTACACTTTGAAGACAGCGGTCCTCGGGTTAAATGTCCCTATCCCGACTGTGATAGTTGGCTAAAAGATGAGGATAACTTAAAGTCACATTTGCAAAGACATAATCCCGAAGGTAAAATCTATAAATGTCCAGATTGCGGTAAGCTATGTAAAAATCGTGGAGCTCTTACAAATCATAAGCGCTACAGTCACTCCAATGAAAGATTCCAGTGTGAACAATGTAAGAAAACATTTAAGAAAGCAATATCATTAAGAGTAAGTATTCTATTGCTAAATAGAGTAAACAATGAATAATATGTATTGAATTTCATTAGGAGCATATGACCCAACATACAGGAGAAACTTTATATAAATGTCCATTCTGTACTCGAACTTTTAATTCAAATGCAAATATGCATTCACATAAAAAGAAGCAACATCCAATAGAATGGGATGAATGGAGAAAGAATAAAAAAGGCAGTGCACAAAGTTTTATTAATAATACTAATCCTTTAATTGGAAACTAAATGATAATAAAAACGTTTTGCAATATCTTTTTAGTTCTTTTTGTTGTTTTAAGTCATGATATTTCGAAGAAGTTAAAATGGTTCATTTTTTCTAACTTTAGGACACGACATCTCGATAACCTGATGTGATGAAGAAATACAGATTCATTCAAGCATACTTTAGTCTGTGGACAATTTGTTGGCCTATGTGATATTTGTATTTTATTACTAAAAAAATAAAAAAAAACGGTAAAAGCAGGTTTTAGTAATAAAATCGTTATCTAAATCTAAAAACTGACATTTTCGTACGATAATTGTAAATAAGTTTCGTATTCAAGAAATTGTAGTCGATATTTAAGATTTTATACACCGACATGAAAATAAACGAACTTTTTTGATCATAATGGTCAAGAGTGGTCACCTTGTAAGAATTCACCTTAATTACAACAATAATAATATATGCAAAAATGTAAACATTAACCAGCTGTTTTAAAGAAGTCAACGCATAGTGAATGTTTATGTTTACTTTTGTAATTTCAGGAAAATTGTTTGTTAAAAATGTTAAAAAATTAAGAAAAATTTATATTTAAAACTAAACAACATGTTGTGCTGTACTTGTTTAATGGAAACACCTAAAATGCTGGGCATTTATGATGAAAAAGGAATAAATCTCAATATGGCCGATATCATCGACAAATATTTTTGGTTTAAGGTATTGCAAAAATACTTAATCAAAATCAAATTTTAAAATGTACTAATTTCAGACAAATCCAGATAATTCCCTTACCTCCCATATATGTAGCATATGCTGGAACAGAATTGAAGATTTTCATGACTTCTATCAAAGTGTGGAAAAGGTACATAAAACATTCAAACAAAATCAACATAAACTCGATGTCGTCAAAGAGGAAATAATGCCTAATATCAAATTGGAGGAGGATGAGCATCAAGATGAGATAACATACGAAAATAAACTTCTTCAAATGGAAATTGATATTAAAGAAGCTGCAGAAAATAATATTGAACAGTCGGTTTCAGAGAGAAATCCCTTAGACAATGAACAATTTCACAGTGATGGTAATGAAGAAGAGAACTTTGATAATGAAGGTAGCATTACAACGGATGGATATGAGCCCTCAGATAATAGTGAAACTGAGGAGGTATTAAATACCGAAAAATCGGAAAATGTTCACAAAAAGAAGGGTAACAAAAGTAAATCCAAGCACAAAGATTCAAATAAATCAGAATCAAATATTACAGAAACTAAAAAGAAAAGAAGTTCACATCGTTTAGATCCCATACTAATAGAGCAATTAATTAAAAAACACATACCAATGTTATGTGATTTATGCGTTTTTTCGGGCAAAACTTTCGCCGATATTATAGCGCACTTTAAAGAGCACCATTCACAAGTACAACCCTATATAATGTGTTGTAATAGAAAATTTACCCGAAGTTATTGTATCGACCAACATGCAATAATACATGAAAATCCCGATTCTTTTAGGTTGCTTTTAAACTTTTATCCCATTGCATTTATCATTCAATAATTCATTTTTATTGCAGATGTAATGAATGTAACAGATCATTTACCACAACCTATGGTTTACGAACCCATAATTTAAATCATCATGCTCCAGAGGAAAAGCGTATTCATGCTTGTGAATTTTGCCCAAGGCGCTTTGGTAGACGTCAGTTATTAGAAGTGCATAGACAAACGCATATACCAAAAGAGGAATGGACGATAACTTGTACAAAATGTACAACACGCACCGTAAAGTATGATCAGTTTTCGAAAATTATTAAATTTGTTTTGCACATTTTTAAATTATTTCAAAATTTACAGATTTGTTTCGCAATATTTACTAAATATACACAATAGTATGTTCCATAGAAGAGAAGCTAACATTTGTCATGTTTGCGCTAAAGAAATAAAGGATAAGAAAGCTTTTGAAAAACATGTACGTGCTCATTTTGAAGATAGCGGACCACGTGTTAAATGCACCTATCCTAATTGTGGCCGCTGGCTAAAGGATGAAGACAATTTGAAAACTCATATGCAGCTACATAATCTGGCCGGTAAAACGTATAAATGTTCGGAATGTGCTAAGGAATGTCCTAATCGTAGAGCGTTAACGAATCACAAGCGTTATGTTCACTCTAATCCAACATTCCGTTGTGAAGAATGTGATAAAACTTTTAAAAAAGCCATATCCTTAAGGGTAAGTAGTCTTAGCAAAATTTTTTAAGTTTTGGATTTAATTTATTTACCCATTTTAGGAGCATATGACCCAACATACTGGTGAAACATTATACAGTTGCCCCTTCTGTACAAGAACATTTAATTCAAATGCCAATATGCACGCTCATAAAAAGAAACAACATCCCAATGAATGGAAAGAATTAAGAAGAAAAAATATTGGTCCTTTACCAAATTAATGAAAAATTTGTATTTTTCTTTTAATATTAAATTATTTTTTTTTTAATTGAAAAAATAGTATAATTGAATGCATTTTATTAATTACATTTTTGGTAATAACGTTGCTTTAAAGTTTAAACAACGGTCAGTAAAAATTGTTGTCTATTGTTTTGAGCATAAACATGTTATCAATTAGCTGTGAATGTTTTATATTGTAAACAAATAATGGAACAGATTTTCAACTGCACGCGGTGAACTTCAAATTAACATGTAAATCACAATTATGTACCAAATACGTTATTCAGGCTGAAATCTTTGATCTCGAAACAACTTTTTCCTGACTTTATAATTACAGAATCACACTGAATAGTATTGTAGTTAAAAATTTTCCTTTGAATTTAGAATATGGTTTTATGGGATCTATAGTAGTGTTGAAATCCACGAATACAATAGTAAAACTAAAGTAGTTTGCAGTTTGTCGCACCAATTGTAATTCAACTTAAAATGTATACAAATTGACCATAGCCAAAATATTTGTTGATGCTAAATAATTAAAAATAAAAATGTCATGTTGTGTGTGTTTATTGGAAACTCCTGAAATCATGGAGATTTTTGATGATTTAGGAATATCAATGAATATTGCCGAAATAATTAATAAACATTTGTGGTTTAAGGTAATATTGGATATTTCAAATTCCTAAAACAGTATCTATAACTAATAGTTCTATTGTTTTTTTAAAGCCACTCCAAAATGATGCCTTTACTTCACAAATCTGTACTGAATGTTGGCATAAAATCGAAAATTTTCATCAATTTTATGTGACAGTAGAAAAGGTACACAAGGATTTTAACGAGAGAAAAACAGCTATTAAGGAAGAAGACCAACCTGCATTAACCTGTTCCAATAATATAAAAAAGGAAAATAACTATGAGGAGGTTTTCGACGATAAACTAATGCAAATCGAAATAGAGATTGAAGATAATAAAATTTCGCCAAATGAGGAATTAACAGAGGATACAAAGAATCCTCTAGATAATGATGATGAAAGCGAAAACGATATTGAATTTGAAAATGATAATTCGGAAGAGTATGAACCTTCTGATAGAAGTGTTAGTGAAACTGAAGAGCAGATAAAATGTAATAAAACTGACAGTAATTTAAAAGTTAAAAAGACAAACAAAAGGAAGCAAACTAAAGATGACAAAAGCACTAAAACAGGAACAAGTAGTAATACGTCAAAGAAAAAAAGAACATCTCATCGCTTGGATCCCATACTAACGGATGAGATCATTAAAAAACACATACAAATGGCTTGTAACTTATGTGTATACGTTGGAAAAACATTTCCCGATATTGTCGAACATTTTAAGATCCATCACGAAAACGTTAAAGCCTATATAATGTGCTGCGACAAAAAGTTCACTAGAAGTTATTCTATTGCTCAACATGCCTACATTCATGAAAATCCAAATTCCTTTAGGTAAGTTAGTGGATTACATATACATACATACATATGTACATATTTTCATTCATATTTATTTCAATTACTTCCAGCTGTACACATTGTAATAAATCATTTACCACTAGTTATGGTCTACGTATACATAATATTTCCTATCACGCATCTGAGGAGGAACGAACACATGCCTGCGAACAGTGTCCACGTAAATTTGGCAGACGCAACTTACTGGAACTGCATAAACAAACTCATATTCCAAAAGAACAATGGACAATTGTGTGCACCAAATGTACAACACGTACAGCAAAGTAAGTTATGTCTTTGGGGGTTTTTTTAATGCAACATTCTAACCGTATAATTTTATAGATTTGCCACACAATATATGCTAAATATACATACAAGTATGTATCACCGACGTGAGATAAATATTTGTCAAGTATGCGCCAAAGAAATTAAAGATAAGAAATCCTTTGAAAAGCATGTACGTTCACATTTCGAAGATAGTGGTCCACGTCTTAAATGTCCCATTGAAAATTGTGAAAGTTGGCTTAAGGATGAAGATAATTTGAAAACGCACATACAAAGGTATCATCTCGATGATAAAACCTATAAGTGTCCCGACTGCGACAAGGTATGCCCAAATCGTCGTTCATTGTCGAGTCACAAGCACTATTTTCATTCAAAGGAGGTTTTTCGCTGTGAACAATGCGATAAAACTTTTAAGAAAGCTTTAACTTTAAAGGTTTGTTTTTACTTTACTAATAGGTACTATTTATTCTGGATTCTAGAATCTGGTTAATATTTATGTTATTCATTTTAGGAACACATGACTCAACATACTGGAGAAACTTTATATAATTGTCCATTTTGTACGAGAACATTTAATTCAAATGCAAATATGCATGCTCATAAAAAGAAACAGCATCCTGTGGAATGGGAGGAATTAAGGAGGAAAAAATTAGGACCTTTGCCTAATTAATATTCTTTAATAATCTATTTGGGCTTAGATTTACTTTAAAGAAAAAATAACAACTAATAAACAGAACTTAGAAGAAATTAATACTGATTTGAAGAATTAATTCATCTTAATTTTCAATTAATTTTAAGTATGTGGATGTCCTTTTTTTGTAGTTAGGTTAATTATATTTTATATTTATGTTACAAAGAAATCAATATAATGTAATATACTACCATTTAATGTGTAAAATTTTTGCAGCTGCTATCAATTCTATGTGAGTGCCATAATACTTGTTTTTGTTTACAAATCAACAAATACAAAAAACATATGTACATTAGGGTGGGTCAACAAAGCTTAGCCATTGCTTCCAGTTCCTAGAAAATTAGTTTCTTAAAATGTAAATTTTTCAAGTGTTAATTAATTTGTATTTTAGATATATACATATAATGAAATTTTACATTTGGAGTAATGGTTTCATTTAACGAACTAAACTTTTCTTACAGTTATATTTACATTTACATGACCCACCCTAATGAACAACAATATTTACTTTAAAACTTGCTAATTTAAGTTACTTTTCTGTAAAAATTTAGTTTATTAAACATAAATATGCTGTGTTGTGTTTGCCTTTTGGAAACCCACGATACAATGGGTATATCTGATGACATGGGCAAACAAATGAATATTGCTGAAGTTATATCCAAACACTTTTGGTTTAAGGTAGAGTATTTAGTGAAATTTAAACACATTTGATTATAGTAAAAATAATTCTATTTCCAATTCTAGCTTGAAGACATACTAACATCGCACATTTGCACCATATGTTGGAATAAAATAGATGATTTCCATGACTTCTACCAAACTATCGAAAAAAGTCATAAAGAATTTCAAAATGTGCAACAAGATTTGGCCATTATTAAAGAGGAAGATAATTATTTGGTTGCAAATAGTATAAAACAAGAAGATATTGATATAGAGGAGGACTATATAAATGTAGATAAAGATTTGCAGGTAGAAATCGAAATTAACATTGACCACACGGACACAATAAAGAATCCCTTGGCGGAGAATGAACCAAATGATAGTGATGAGGAGATGGTTAATGAAGATGGTGGTGGCAATGATAGTACAACATCGGAAGAGTATCAACCTAGTAAAACGAAGAGAAGGAATACAAATAAAAATAGCGCTAATAGTGAAAAAGTTAAAATTGAAAACAAACCAAAAAGATGTAAACGCAAGAAACAGGCTACGAAATCAGAGGAAAATAAACCCAAAAGAAAAAAGCCTATCTTTAATCGTTTAGATCCCTTACACACGGAGGAAATGATCAAGAAACACATACCAATGGGCTGTAATTTATGTGTTTTTGTGGGTAAGACATTTGGTGATATTGTGGCTCATTTTAAAGCAGATCATCCCAATGTGAGAGCTTACATAACATGTTGTGACAAAACATTTACAAAACGCTTTTATGTTGCCCAACATGCTATGACCCATGAAAATCCTGATTGTTTTAGGTAATATACAATTATTCTCAAAAAACGACCTTATATCTATAACTTCAAATCTCTTTAAGTTGTGTGCTATGTAATAAATCCTTTACAACAACTGGTGGCATGCAAAAGCATAATTTAAAATATCATGCTCCAGATGAGGAACTAACATTTGCCTGCGATTTATGTCCGCAGAAGTTTGCGCGCCAGCATTTGCTGCAATTACATAAACCATCTCATATACCGCGTGAAGAATGGAATTTCTTTTGCACCAAATGTCCTACCTCAAAAGCGTGAGATATATTTACATAAATTTCATTATGAATAATTATTTAAACAAAAAATCTCTTTCAGCTTTGCTAGTGCATACTTGTTGAATATACATGATAATAAATTACACAAAAGAGAAAAGAATATTTGTAATGTTTGTGCCAAAGAAATCAAAGATAAAAAGTCTTTCGAAAAGCACGTCCGTGAACATTATGAGGGCAGTGGACCGAGATTAAAATGTCCTATATCCAATTGTGATAGTTGGCTAAAGGATGAAGATAATTTAAAAGTGCATTTACGAAGACACAATACTGACGATCAAATCTACAAATGTCCTCTGTGTGATAAAATATGTCCGAATCGTAGGGCTTTATCTAGCCATAAAGTTTATGTACATACTAAAGAAGTTTTTAAATGTGAACATTGTGATAAAACATTTAAAAGAGCAATAACACTAAAGGTAAACGTTTAATTACGTACTATTTTTGTGTTTTTAGATTTTATTGTTTTTAATTTTAGGAACATATGACTCAACATACTGGTGAAGTTTTGTATAATTGTCCATTTTGCACTAGAACCTTTAATTCGAACGCTAATATGCATTCACACAAAAAGAAACAACATCCTCTAGAATGGGAAGCGTTAAAGAGACAGAAAATGGGTAATCCTAGTGAAAATATTCTAGATATAAGTAAAATGTTCTAATGCTATTTGGAAGTTAACCATTGGAAATAAAGTTTTAATAAAAAATAGGTATCCTTTTTAGTTTATTTTTGTTAGCATGAAGCATGAAACATATTAATTGGACAGTAATAACTATATACATAGGAAAACAAAATCAGTTTATCCTTTATTTATAAAGTTTTTTAAACATATACTTATGAAGGTATTCTCTAACCTACAAATTATTTTCTAGTCTGGTCTTTTGACAAGTCAGTTGTCTAGTCTATGGATTAGTCTGTTATGTAGTCCATAGACTAGATAGACTAGTGTATTGTTTAGTTTTTGGACCGGTCTATTGTCTAATGTAATATAATCACGTAATTGTAGAGAATAAATCAGAATCGGTTTTAAAACAGCTTTTTACAACTTTATTATAAATTTACTTTGTGAAAATAATTAAATAACATTGTGTACTTAGAATAATTTAAGGGTTTTTATGCTGCGTAAACACAAATCTCCAGCCAATAAAATATTTAAACAAACATAAACAAACAAAATTTAAGATTTTGGAAGTACCGTTAGCAAATAGTTGCCATATTTAAAGAAAATAACACAGCTGTTTGTTAATAACCTAAAGTGAATGACATAGTTATTTGCAAAAAGAAGAAAAACTAAACAAATTATAAAAAAAATTAGGAAATAATTATAATTTTATATAAAACTAAGTAAATAAGTAAACAGTGCATCATGTTGTGTTGTGTATGCTTATTGGAAAACCCAAACAATATAAATATATTTGACGATATAGGCCATCAACTTAAAATAGCTGAAGTTATAGAAAAATATCTATGGTTTAAAGTAAGTTAGTAACAATTTTCATTTATTATTATGATCTACAAAGGACTCTTTGGAATACATTACAGCCGCAACCTGATAATATTTTAACAAATGAAATTTGTTCAGATTGCTGGCATAAAATAGATGACTTTCATATATTTTACCAAACGGCAGAGAAAGCCCACAAGGAATATGACCATAATGCTATATCTAGTATTAAGATTGAAGTACTCTGCTCTAGTCCAATTAAACTAGAGCAAGAGTGTAAAGAAGAGGAAACGATTAACAATTTAGATAACAGTGATAATGGAGAAGACAATCAGTTAAAAAATCCATTGGAAGAAAATGATACAAACGATATAAATTTTAATTATGAATCTAATGATGAGGACTGTGAAACAGCTAATGACTATGAACCCTCTAGTTCAAGCCAACAGGAATCTTCAATGGATGAGGGGGATTCGGAAAATGATAAAGATAATAAACAGAAGCATGATATCGCTATAAAAAGAAAAACAAGATGTAAACGTCAGAGAAATTCGGAAAAGTGCAATGATATTGCAAAGAAAAAGAGAACAGTACAACGTTTAGATCCAGTACATACAGAAGAAATGATTAAAAAACATATACCTATGGGTTGCAATTTATGTGTTTTTGTTGGTACAACGTTTGCGGATATTGTGCAACATTTTAAGAGTGTTCATCCAAAAGTTAGACCGTACATAATGTGTTGTGATAAAAAGTTTTCTAAGCGGTTTTATTTAGCTCAACATGCTTTAAAACATGAAAATCCTAATTGTTTTAGGTAAGTAGGACAAACTTTGTTTTCAAGATTAGTTATTATAAAAATACTGTTACATAACCGGATAGACATATTTGTAAAACAAGTTTTTTTCTATGTCAAGGTGCGAACAATGCAATAAGTCATTTACCACAGTATGTGGTTTACGGAATCATAATGTAAGTTATCATGCCAGCAAAGAAGAACTGATTTACGCTTGCGATAATTGCCCAAAAAAATTTGCTCGCAGAAATCTATTGGAATTGCATAAACCTTCACACATACCCAAGGAACAATGGAAATATGTTTGCAATATATGTCCAAATAAAAAAACGTAATTTGTTTGTACTAAAACTAGAATACATTTTTAATTAATTTATACAATTCTCATAGATTTGCCAGTACATTTTTATTAAATGTACACACTAGCATGAAACATAAACGGGAGATAAACATTTGTCCGGTATGTGCCAAAGAAATTAAAGATAAAAAGTCCTATGAAAAGCATGTACGTTTACACTATGAAGACAGCGGTCCACGAGTCAAATGTCCTTATCCAGATTGTGATAGTTGGCTTAAAGATGAAGACAATTTGAAACAACATTTAACGAGACACAATCCTGAGGGAATAATTTACAAGTGTAATGAATGCCCTAAGGAATGCAAAAATCGACGAGCTTTAACGAATCATAAACGTTATGCTCATTCGAATACTATATTCCAGTGCGAGCAATGTGATAAAACATTTAAGAAAGCTATTTCGTTAAGAGTAAGTAAAATAACACATCAATTTTTATTCTTTTTAATATATACCTATTCACTATTGTAATAATTTCAGGAACACTTGACTCAACATACTGGCGAAACTTTGTATAAATGTCCTTTTTGCACAAGAACTTTCAATTCAAATGCAAATATGCATTCTCATAAAAAGAAACAACATCCCGTAGAATGGGAAGAGTGGCGCAAAAATAAACGTGGCAGTGCTCAGAAGTTAATAAATAATAAAAATCCATTAAATCAACTTGATGAAACACTGTCAGAATTAAATAATACATTACATTTATTATAAAGAAAAAACTAAATAAAGCTAAATTTTATATTTTAATTTGAAGTGTACAATAGTTTTAGATTAGGTTCGCATTTGAAGGTTTAATATTAGATAACCACTAGAAATACTTTTTCTCTGCTTTCCAACACAGATCAGATCAGATTAATGTTAACTTCATTAGTTTCGTCTGTACATAAATATCTCCAGGATTTTGAGATTTTGTCTATAATTTAGACATTCGATGGCGACCATAAACAAGTTCATATTCAGATTTCTGACGTAAAATTTAACTTATTAGAATTCTATATATATATATATATATATATATATATATATATATATATATATATATATATATATGTACATAATTTTGTACAAATTCCGAGTCCTTATAAATAGTGGAGTTCATTTAGTTATGTTCATCCGTCTGTCCGTATGTATGTTGAAATCACTTTTTTAAAAGACCTCAGGTATCTTTGAGATCCAAACCTTTAATAACAATATCAGATACGTTTTCGAGAACTTCGCTATTTGAAAAACAGTCAAACCGGTCCATAATAAAGGAGATATGAGCAAAATTCCGAAACATCCCATGAAAATATTATGTTTTTTTCTCATTCTTGATTATTTTTTTACAGAAACTCTTACAACTCCCTCTAGAATATCGGTATTCCTGCAAAATTTTGCAAATCATACTTCGTGACTGTTTATAATTTAGGCTTTTAAAATTTATAATTGAAAAAAAAACTATCGGTTTTATTAAAAGATTTTATTAAAGTACCGTTATTTTAACTAACAGCTGTTTGTTATTAATCTATAATGAATAGCATAATTAGGACGAATTAATAAATTCGCTTTAGCAATAAGTTTTGTTTAGGTAAATTTAAAAAAAAATAAATAAAAAAAACAAAAATTAAAGATAATTATTGTAATAAAAAGTACTTTCTTAAAGAAAGTCAAATATTTAGCAAAAATAAAAAATTAAGTTTTTTTTGGAAATACAAATGCATTTTTGGTCCCAATCTAATATAAATGTTTGTGCATACATAAATTTCTACATACATACGTACATACATATGTATGTATATATGTACATACATACTAATGTTTTGTTTTGGTCAAAACACACGCAACAGGTTGTACAAAACAAAAACAACAATAAAAGAGGTAAACAAAAAGCCACTTGTGTAAGTACTGGTTAAAAAAGAAATGGCCTACATGAAGACCACATACAATACATACACATTACCATGGAAACGAGTTTTCTCAATCAAAAAATAAAACAAAACAGATCTCCAAACCATTAAGAAACATTTTTAAGAAAATTTAATAAAAACTTATTAATTTCTAAATAAAAATGTTTGTTTATTTAAGCAAAAAGGTCAGTAACAAGATTAGATTCAATTTAATTATAAATTTTTCATAATATGATAATAATTTCTCCATTTAACAGATTGCTATACCAAATAATGTAAAATTGAACTGTATATCTTGGAATAAAGAACAAGGTTATATAGCGGTAGCAGGTACAGATGGTTTGTTGAAAGTATTAAAGCTGGAACAAGGTACATATGAATTGGTTAGCAATAAAATGTTGTTGTTTAATTGTTGTCTATTTGTCTTTAGCTTCTAATGGTCAAAATAAAGGAGGTTTAGCGGCCGCCTCAAATTTGTCTATGAATCAAACATTAGATGGTCATAAAGATGCCGTCAAAGTGGTGGTATGGAATGATGCTCAACAGAAATTAACCTCATCCGATGTTGATGGCGTTATAATGGTTTGGATGTTGTATAAAGGCTCTTGGTATGAAGAAATGACTAATGATCGTAAAAAATCGACGGTCAATGGTATGCACTGGACTTCGGATGGCTCGAAAATATGTATTGTTTATGAAGATGGTGCTATTATAGTGGGTAAGCAATTTAATGTACCTAATTAAAGTTTCATTTAATTTAAAGGATTTCCCTTTTGGCTCAGGTTCTGTTGATGGTAATCGCATTTGGGGTAAAGAATTAAAAAATACTCATTTAAGTGGTGTTCAATGGAGTCCGGATAATCGTTTACTTCTCTTTAGCTTGGCCAATGGAGAATGTCATTTGTATGATAATCAAGGAAATTTTGCGGTAACTAAGTGTATTTTGAATGTTAAATAAAACGATTTTATAATTCTGTAAAGGGACAAAGTATTTGGAAATTTTAAAAATTAAGTGCTCCAGGAAATGTACCCTTATGGGGAACTATATCGTTTTCATTTATAATCAAAAATCTTCTTTTTTTTCGTCCTTTTTTAGATGAAATTGAACATACAATGTGTGGGCCTTAATGTCAATCGGCACAATAGTGTTACGGCCTTAAGTTGGTTTAGTGGAAAATCTCCTCCAAATCGTCCTGTTTTAGCAATATGTTATGAATCGGGAAAAGTTCAAATTATGGTCGATGAGAACGATGAAGGTAAGTTTATTGCGGTATAATAGAAATATTAAGTGATTTTCAGTTGTGGACCTTATGTGGGAGATACGATCAATTATGAACTGATCTGAACAAATTTCGTAGAATGATTTGTGTATATATAATACATACCAGTTGAATTTTGTACTAACCAATGAGTTATGTAATGTTTAAGTGGTTTTTAGATGAGGGCTTTATATGAGAGCAATGATAAAAATTACGTTATCATTACTAATGATAGTTAGATAGATAGATAGATAGATAGATAGATAGATAGATAGATAGATAGATAGATAGATAGATAGATAGGTAGATAGATAGATAGATAGATAGATAGATAGATAGATAGATAGATAGATAGATAGATAGATAGATAGATAGATAGATAGATAGATAGATAGATAGATAGATAGATAGATAGATAGATAGATATAGATAGATAGATAGATAGATAGATAGATAGATAGATAGATAGATAGATAGATAGATAGATAGATAGATAGATAGATAGATAGATAGATAGATAGATAGATAGATAGATAGATAGATAGATAGATAGACATAGATAGATAGATAGATAGATAGATAGATAGATAGATAGATAGATAGATAGATAGATAGAAAGTGCTTCATTACGTAAGCTTTGCTTATACCTAACCCATTCCAAATTTATTTTAGCACCCACAATTTTAAACACACACATGCATATAACCGATGCAAAATGGAATCATGATGGTTCTGTGCTAGCGATATGTGGCCGACTTGACGAAGTGTCGAATACAAAAGAACTTAATCAAGTTAGTTTCTATTCACCGTATGGACATTTATATCGAACCCTTAAAGTACCCGGCAATCAAATAACATCCATCTCATGGGAGGGTAAATCTTTACGCATAGCCATGGCCGTCGATTCGTTTATATATTTTGCCAATATACGACCCGATTATCGTTGGTGCTATTTTGAAAAGACGGTGGTATTTCTAAGCGATCGTAGTAATGGCAAAACGCATAATCTAAATCTAATAACATTTTGGAATACTAGCTCTAATCAGGTGGGTTTAAGTAAGGCTCATCTGGAATTTATTTTAATATTTTGATTTATTTTGTTGTTGAAGAGTTTTCTTAAAGAAGTTGAGCCTTGTTTGGCCATGGCTGCCTGTAATGAACATTGTGTTTTAGCGGTAGAGTGCATTAGTGGCAATATTAAGGATCTGGCTTTAACATCTTTAGAGCGTAAAAATGCCGATGACAAATTATATCAATTGTTATTGTGCAATTCGATTGGTACTACTGTGGATTGTAAGTTTGTTTCAACTTTTGTATACATTTTATTTCTTATGATTTCTTAATTTTAAAGCCAAATATACAGAAGTATGTCCCAACTTTATTGGCATTAATTCCAACTATGTGGCTATAGCCTCTAAAGATGAAATTTTATTATGGCATTATCATACACCTAAGGTGAGGGAGTTTTTTTTTTAACTTTAATAACCAAAATAACTAATAGTTTTAAACTTTTAGAGTGCCTCTCAATTGCACAATGTTAAATCTCGCAAAGAGAAACGTTTTCACATCGATGATACACCCACTGGTATAGATTTAGCTAAGGATTTGGTGGTTTCAAGAACAAGTCAGGATAATGCCGAAACCAATACGGATTTGATATGCAGTCTAGCGGTATCGGAGAAAGTTCTACTAGTAGCTAGAGAATCGGGTATTATAAATGAGTATAGCATACCAAATGTGGCGCTTAGAAATCGTCATAAAATTGGCAGTAAAATTATTAAAATGTCCATCAATTGTAATTCCTCGTAAGTTAAACTCGCAGTTTTATTATATCCCTTTTCTAACATCAAAACTTTTTATTTATACTCGAATTAGACGTGCTGCTTTGATTGACTCTAATGGTGTTATGACTCTTTTGGATTTGGATGATAATCGTGAAACTCAGTTGAATTTTAGTCGTGTGGAACGTAAAGATGTTTGGGCCATATGCTGGGCTAAGGACAATCCTCTGTTGTTGGCTCTCATGGAAAAAACACGCATGTATATCTTCAGAGGTAATGATCCTGAAGAGCCTATTGCTTGCTCTGGTTATATTTGCACCTTTGAAGATTTAGAAATCACCAGCGTCTTGCTGGATGATATTATAAGTGGCGAGGAGTCGCAAAATTCTCTAAGTCATATATTGCAGTTGAAAGTCAAGTCTTTAAGAGATACCGACGATTTACTTCAACATGTTGGCCTAGAAGATGCCAAACAATTTATAGAAGATAATCCACATCCTCGTTTATGGCGTCTATTGGCTGAAGCAGCGTTAAAGAAGTTAGAGCTTGATATAGCAGAAAATGCTTTTGTAAGATGTTCGAATTATCAGGGTATTCAGTTGGTAAAACGTTTGCGCAATATACCCTCGGAAATGTTGCAGAAAGCGGAAATCGCCGCTTTCTATGGTGAGTTTGAGGAAGCAGAAAAATTGTATATCGATGGTGATCGTCGGGATTTGGCTATAAATTTGCGTATAACTTTGTGTGATTGGTTTCGTGTTGTCCAGTTGTATAGAATGGGTTCTGGCATATCGGATCAACAAATGGAAACTGCTTGGCGTCAAATAGGTCATCATTTTGCCAGTCTCAGATCTTGGGAAAGTGCCAAGGAGTACTATGATAAATCTCATGATATAGAAGGTCTTATGGAATCGTTGTATCACTTGGAACAATTCGAAGAGTTAGAAAAATGCATAGATAAGTTGCCGGAGAAAAGTCCATTGCTTTCAAAGATAGCAGAAATGCTGGCTTCAGTTGGTAAGTTGCTGCAGTTTAATTCGAAACAAGAAGATTTTGTATAATATTATATTACTTTAATAAGGCATGTGTTCTGAAGCTGTAAATGCTTATTTAAAGCTAGGCGATCCCAAGTCTGCGGTCAACACCTGTGTTAACTTGCGACAATGGGGCCAGGCTGTGGAGTTGGCACAGAAATTTAAAATGCCTCAAGTTAGTGTCTTGCTAAGTAAACATGCTGCCCAACTCTTAAAAGACGGTCGTTTACCCGAAGCCATTGAATTACAAAAGAAGGCAGGACGTTACTTAGACGCTGCACGTCTCATGACCAAACTAGCGGAACGTGAAATTGAAAAACATTCGAATTTATTGCGTATTAAAAAACTTTACGTTTTAGCTGGCCTCTTGGCTGAACAGCATTTAAAAAGTCTAGCTACTAGTTCAGCTGAAAGTCCAGCCTACAATATTGATCGCATAAGTATAATGGATACTCTGGCTCCGGAGGATTCGGCTGCTATTGAACGCATTTGGCATTGTGCCGAAGCTTATCATTTTATGTTATTGGCTCAGCGGCAGCTGCGCTTTGGCATTGTACACAGTGCTGTCATAACGGCTTTGCGCTTGAGGGAATACGAAGATGTTCTTAGCGCTGAAGATATTTATAGTCTTTTAGCTTTAGCCAGTTGTGCTGATAGATCTTTTGGAACGTGCTCTAAGGCTTTTATCAAACTGGAATCATTAGATAATTTGCCGGAGAAGAGCCAGAGAGAATACGAAGAGTTGGCAGTAAATATTTTTTCGAAAAACGAACCCATAGATGATAAGGTGGATTTCATAACCTGTTATTCCTGCACAAATGCTGTAGCGGATTGGTAAGTTGAAGAGGTTTAATCTTTTTAACATAAAGTTTTTAATATTTTTGTTTAAGCTTACCAGCTTGTAACGCTTGTGGTGCCCGCTTTCCACCCTGTATATCGTCGGGAAAACCTATAACTCAACCGACTGCTAATATTTGGATTTGTGGAACATGTCAGCACTGTGCCTCGCCCATGGAAATAACTCGTCATCGCACCTGTCCATTGTGTCATAGTTTGATCTTATCAATGACTTTAGAAGTGTAAAATACATCTTTTAGAAATAAATTTTATTAAAATGGTCTCATTATTTATATTAACAAAACCATATTATTTAAAATGCTCAGTGATTAGGGCGCTAGATAGATAGATAGATAGATAGATAGATAGATAGATAGATAGATAGATAGATAGATAGATAGATAGATAGAGAGATATAGATAGATAGATAGATAGATAGATAGATAGATAGATAGATAGATAGATAGATAGATAGATAGGATAGATAGATAGATAGATAGATAGATAGCTATATAGATAGATCGATAGCTCGTAGCTTCGATAGTCGATCGCTCGCTCGCTAGATTAGATTAGTCGTGATCGCCTCGTAGCTGATCGATCCGCATAGCGTAGCTCGATACTGGTAGTAGCTCGTAGGCCGCTATCTAGATCGCTCTCGCTCGCTCAGCTAGATAGATAGATTGCGCGCTAGATGCTCGCTCGCTCGATATCCGTCCTGCTCCTATGCTGCTCGCTTCGATCGCTCGCTAGCTAGCTGCTCGTCGTACTTGGCCTGGGGCTCAGATGATCGCTCAGCTGCTCGCTCGCTCGCTCGCCGCTGCTCGCTCGCCGCTCGCTCGCTCGCTCGCTCGCTCGCTCGCTCGCTGCTCCTCGCTGCTCCTCGCTCGCTGATCGCTCGTCGCCTCTCGCTCTCGCTCGTCGCTCGCTCTCTCAGCCTTTCGCTCCTCGCTGCTCGCTCGCTGCTCGCTCGCTCGCTCGCTCGCTCGCTCGCTCGCTCGCTCGCTCGCTCGCTCCTCGCTCGCTCGCTCGCTGCTCGCTCTCTCGCTCGCTCGCTCGCTCGCTCGCTCGCTCGCTCGCTCGCTCGCTCGCTCGCTCGCTCGCTCGCTCGCTCTCGCTCGCTCGCTCGCTCGCTCGCTCGCTCGCTCGCTCGCTGCTCGCTCGCTCGCTCGCTCGCTCTCTCGCTCGCTCGCTCGCTCGCTCGCTCGCTCGCTCGCTCGCTCGCTCGCTCGCTCGCTCGCTCGCTCGCTCGCTCGCTCGCTCGCTCGCTCGCTCGCTCGCTCGCTCGCTCGCTCGCTCGCTCGCTCGCTCGCTCGCTCGCTCGCTCTCTCGCTCGCTCGCTCGCTCGCTCGCTCCTCGCTCGCTCGCTCGCTCGCTCGCTCGCTCGCGCGCTCTCTCGCTCGCTCGCTCGCTCGCTCGCTCGCTCGCTCGCTCGCTCGCTCGCTCGCTCGCTCGCTCGCTCGCTCGCGCGCTCGCTCTCGCTCGCTCGCTCGCTCGCTCGCTCGCTCGCTCTCTCGCTCGCTCGCTCGCTCGCTCGCTCGCTCGCTCGCTCGCTCGCTCGCTCGCTCGCTCGCTCGCTCGCTCGCTCGCTCGCTCCTCGCTCGCTCGCTCGCTCGCTCGCTCGCTCGCTCTCGCTCGCTCGCTCGCTCGCTCGCTCGCTCGCTCGCTCGCTCGCTCGCTCGCTCTCTCTCTCGCTCGCTCGCTCGCTCGCTCGCTCGCTCGCTCGCTCGCTCGCTCGCTCGCTCGCTCGCTCGCTCGCTCGCTCGCTCGCTCGCTCGCTCGCTCGCTCGCTCGCTCGCTCGCTCGCTCGCTCGCTCGCTCGCTCGCTCCTCGCTCGCTCGCTCGCTCGCTCGCGCGCTCTCTCGCTCGCTCGCTCGCTCGCTCGCTCGCTCGCTCGCTCGCTCGCTCCTCGCTCGCTCGCTCGCTCGCTCGCTGCTCGCTCGCTCGCTCGCTCGCTCGCTCGCTCGCTCGCTCTCTCGCTCTCTCGCTCGCTCGCTCGCTCGCTCGCTCGCTCGCTCGCTCGCTCGCTCGCTCGCTCGCTCGCTCGCTCGCTCGCTCGCTCGCTCGCTCGCGCTCTCGCTCGCTCGCTCGCTCGCTCGCTCGCTCGCTCGCTCGCTCCTGCTCCTCGCTCGCTCTCTCGCTCGCTCGCTCGCTCGCTCGCTCGCTCGCTCGCTCGCTCGCTCGCTCGCTCGCTCGCTCGCTCGCTCGCTCGCTCGCTCGCTCGCTCGCTCGCTCGCTCGCTCGCTCGCTCGCTCGCTCGCTCGCTCGCTCGCTCGCTCGCTCGCGCGCTCTCTCGCTCGCTCGCTCGCTCGCTCGCTCCTCGCTCGCTCGCTCGCTCGCTCGCTCGCTCGCTCGCTCGCTCGCTCTCGCTCTGCTCGCTCGCTCGCTCGCTCGCTCGCTCGCTGCTCGCTCGCTCGCTCGCTCGCTCGCTCGCTCGCTCGCTCGCTCGCTCGCTCGCTCGCTCGATAGATAGATAGATAGATAGATAGATAGATAGATAGATAGATAGATAGATAGATAGATAGATAGATAGATAGATAGATTTTTCAGCTTTGACATAAATCTGGCAACTTTCTAATTAAATTGAACAACTCTGTTTTTTATAATTTTTTGTTTACAGCTGTATACTTTTTTGCTTTTTTGTGGTGTGCGGAGGAAAAAATCACAAAATTATAGAAAAAATATAAAAAATATGAAAAAATTGCAATAAGAATACAAAACATGAAAGTAAGTGGTTTAAAAAATGTAAATTAAATAAATAAAAACTTATAATTCTGTGTTTTAGCGCATAAGTGAAAAGAAGTTGGAAGCCTTTGCCGTAGGTACTATGGGCAAACGGCAATTGTCCAAAAAAGAAATAGAGGAGCAAAAGAAAAAAGATGATGAAGCGGCTGCGGCACATGTAAGCTAGAATTATAGTTTATTGTAAAGCAGATTAAGGAAAGTGTATAAATTTATTACTATAGGTTTTCAAAGAGTTTGTGGAAACATTTCAAGACACACCCTCAGCCTCCTCTAAAATTTGGGTTAAAGCCGGTACCTATGATGCCGGCTCAAGAAGTAAGTTTGGGCAATAAGGAAGAAATTTAAGAAGCTTACTAAAACGTATATATTTACAGAGGAAGATAGCCGGGAAAAGGGTAAATTGTATAAACCATCCTCAAAATTGGAAGATAAATCAGCTGCCGAAAAAGCTCAAGAATATGCCAAAATGTTGGCTTCTGATCTTAAAAAGGACTCCATTAATCTGAAGAAGAAAAGCCAGGAGAAAAAGAAAAGTAATTTGGAACTTTTCAAAGAGGAGTTGCGTCAAATCCAAGAGGAACGTGAAGAACGTCATAAATATAAACATATGGCTCAAGCTGCGGTTAGCCAACCAAGCACACAACCCTCACAGGCGGTAGCCGAACATCATCACAATCATCAGACGGAAGAGCGTACCGGTTCTCATGATACAGGCGATCCAAATACTACTAATTTATATTTGGCTAATTTATGCCCAAAGGTGAGTTATTGGATTAAAAGCATAATGAAAACGAAATTTATATCTCCGCTTCAAAGATATCTGAACAACAATTAATGGAGATCTTTGGTCGCTATGGCCCGTTGGCCAGCATAAAAATTATGTGGCCTCGTTCGGAGGAGGAAAAAATGAGAGAACGTAATTGTGGCTTTGTGGCCTATATGAGTCGCAAAGATGCTGAGAGAGCTTTAAAAACTCTGAATGGTCGTTTTATAATGGGTTACGTTATGCGTTTGGGTTGGGGCAAAGCGGTACCAATACTCAATCAGCCCATCTTTATACCACCACCACTATTGGAACTAACTATGCCACCACCACCCTCTGGTTTACCATTTAATGCTCAACCACCGCCCACTGAATTGCCCAATGTTCCCAAAAAGAACTATAAAGAGTATACAACAGAGGAAGAGAAAGAAAATATGGAAAAGGTAAAAGAAGAGTACAAAATTGTGTTATAAATTCATTCTAACATTAACAATTTATTCTTTAAAGGTTTTAAAGAAGTGTGTGGTTAAAGTTATTATACCAACAGAGAAGTAAGTGCATTCTTTATTCTTTATATTGTTACTTTAATGCTTTTCTTCTAGATCTGTTTTACATATTATACATCGCATGATAGAGTTTGTTATACGTGAAGGCCCCATGTTTGAGGCTTTAATAATGAGTCGTGAAATTGAAAATCCCCTCTTTTCATTTCTATTTGACAATGAGAGTCCGGCTCATATTTACTATCGATGGAAATTATTTTCTTTGCTACAGGGCGATACGCCCAACGAATGGAGTGAAAAAGAATTTCGCATGTTTAAAGATGGTCCCATTTGGAAACCTCCGGTGGCAAACTTTTATACTCAGGGAATGTCAGATGATTTGGTTATAGATCCAGATGCACCAGAGTCTCATAAAGGAGCATTGTCAACTGCGTAAGTATGAAGTTTTCCATAAAAGTAGGTAGTTAAAGAATTTTTCTATCAAGACAAATTTTAGTCGAAATGTTCTGTAGAAATTTTCTTACAAAAGAAATTTTTCCTCAAAATTTTCTTATGGAATAAATTTTTCGTCGAAATTTTTCTATAAAGATTTTTTTTTTATATTGAGCCAATTTTCGTTATTTTATTATTTTTCGTCGAATTTTTTCTGAAAAGAAAATTTTTCGTTAAATTTTTTTCAGTTCTAGTTCGGTTCTAGTTCAGTTCTAGTTCAGTTCTGGTTCAGTTCTAGTTCAGTTCTAGTTCAGTTCTAGTTCAGTTCTAGTTCAGTTCTAGTTCAGTTCTAGTTCAGTTCTAGTTCAGTTCTAGTTCAGTTCTAGTTCAGTTCTAGTTCAGTTCTAGTTCAGTTCTAGTTCAGTTCTAGTTCCGTTCTAGTTTAGTTCTGGTTCAGTTCTGGTTCAGTTCTAGTTCAATTCTAGTTCAGTTCTATTTCAGTTCTAGTTCGGTTCTAGTTCAGTTCTAGTTCAGTTCAGTTCAGTTCTAGTTCAGTTCTAGTTCAGTTCTAGTTCAGTTCTAGTTCAGTTCTAGTTCAGTTCTAGTTCAGTTCTAGTTCAGTTCTAGTTCAGTTCTAGTTCAGTTCTAGTTCAGTTCTAGTTCAGATCTAGTTCAGTTCTAGTTCAGTTTTAGTTCAGATCTAGTTCAGTTCTAGTTCAGTTCCAGTTCAGTTCTAGTTCAGTTCTAGTTCAGTTCTAGTTCAGTTCTAGTTCAGTTCTAGTTCAGTTCTTGTTCAGTTCTAGTTCAGTTCTAGTTCAATTCTAGTTAAGTTCTAATTCAGTTCTAGTTCAGTTCTAGTTCAGCTCTAGTTCAGTACTAGTTCAGTTCTAGTTCAGTTCTAGTTCAGTTCTAGATCAACTTTAGATCAGTTTACTCTGTATAAAAATTCGCTAATTCTATTTTATCTCCACCGCAGTCAACGCGATCGTTTGGAAGATCTTATACATTATCTAACGCCCGAACGTACTAAAATTGGTGATGCCATGATCTTTTGCATTGAACACGCCGATGCTGCCGATGAAATCTGCGAATGTATTGCTGAATCTTTGGCCAATCCTGCAACATTGCCTTCCCGGAAAATTGCACGCTTATATCTGATATCAGATATACTAAACAACTGTACTGTTAAAGTATCAAATGTGTCCTTTTATAGAAAAGCGTGAGTACACTTAATAATACTTGACAGGAGATGAAGATTTTTAATATTTTATCGTGTTTGTTTGTAGAATTGAAAAACATCTGCTGGAAATTTTTGAAAATTTACACACATTCTTTAATAATATTGAAAGTCGCCTTAAAGCGGAGGGTTTCAAAACTCGTGTATTAAACGTTTTAAAAGCCTGGGATGATTGGGCTGTATATTCGAAAGAGTTTTTGGCACAATTGCGTTCGATATTTTTGGGAAAACAGGTAAATAGGCGGTAGGTTATAGAAGATTCCAATATAAAAGAAAATTATATTCTATAGAATCAGACTCCAGCTACACCACCGCCTCAGGAAGAAGTCAAAGAGATGGAGGAAGAAGAGGACATAGATGGTGCCCCTATGTCTGGTGATGAAAAGGATGATGAGGATTTAGATGGTGTACCCTTGGATGGCGCTGCTTTATTAAAGGGTGTACTTATGCGTGGTCTACCGGATACCAAAAAATCTACACCACGTCGTAGTCAAGATGTTAGTTGTGATGCTGATTATAACGATGATATAGATGGTGTTCCATGTACGACGTTTTTTTTTTGAAAATTTTTATAATATTTTACAAAATATTTAAACAAATTTTATTTTTAGTGGATGATGATATCGATGGTGTGCCTTTGGAAAAAGACTTAAACGATACTGGTGATATGGGCGGTAGCAAACAATCCACCAAACCACGGGCATTTATACCCTCAAAATGGGAAACTATTGATCCAGAACAAGTAGAAGCTCAAGCTGTTACCACTAGCAAATGGGATACTTTAGATGCACCTGAAGCTCCTAAGTTTTATGCTAATTCTAGCGATGATGATGATGATAATGAAAATAATCTTAGTTTTGATGAAATAAAACGTAAAAAATTACGTGAAATTGAGGTAAAAACAATGCAATATCAAGATGCTTTAGAAGCAGGTGATATAGAAGTTAAAACGGGCTTAACGGTAGCCGAACAAGTGGAGCATTATCGCAAACGTTTAATGAAAAAGGTAAGTATCGTAGGAGACAACTTAAATAAGCCACAAAAAAATGTTGTTTTCTTGTCCCTAGGATTGTTTAACCGAAGCCATGGATTCACCCTTAAGTTATATGCACAATAAGGAATCTAGCCCTGACAGTCCTAAAAAAATACGCCATCGCAAACGTTCTCCATCGCCCAGTCAACATTTCAGTAGCAGTGCACGTTCCAGTCCGGCACGTACAGCACGTAAACGTTCCGTATCACCCTATAAAAGTAGCAGCAGTCGTCGTGAGCGTTCGCCCACTTCAAGCAGTCGTGACAGTACTAAATACAGCAAGCGTCATCGTTCGCGTAGCCTTTCTTCTTCTCCACCCCATCCGCTAGAGAGAACACCCTATGTATCCAAATCCACGCGTTACGATAGTCCACATTCTTCTTCCTCAAGATCGAAAAGGTTGGTTTTATTCTTAAGCTTCTTTCCCCCCCCCAGAAAACATGAATAGTACATTTTTTCTTTCTTATTAGATCACCCTCCAGCGGTTATTCTCGTTCATCTAAGCGTGATTTGGAACGTGATTCATATTCTAGTGGTAGCGGACGCAGTGAAAAACATAAACACAAACATAAGCATTAAATTTCCACAATAGTTTATCCCGGAGACTTATTCAAAAGCTAATTATCAACAATTATGGAGTATGTACTAGAATTTAAGTTAAAACACAAATTGTGTGTTTTATTTTTCAAAATTTATTCAAGAATAAAATCGATACAAAAAATTAAAAAAAAAAGATAACTTAAAAATTTGTGTTTTTGTAGTTTTATATAAAAAATTATAAATAAGACGATCCTGTTAAAAAAATTCTTTTGTTGTACAATTTCAAATAATACTCTTAAATTATATAGCAGGAAAGGGAAAACAAATGTAACAGTGTGTTTATATAACTATGTGTATTTAAAAAGAAATTAGTTTGCGCGGTTTTAACTCATAATTTTACCAGGTTTCCTTTAAATAATTCGCCATTAGTTTTTTTTCACCACATATCACATCAACTGCATTCGAAGAAACTTGTTTAAATAACAAGTATTGTTTTTTTAAAGTTTTGTTAAAACAATTAAATTGTATTGATTTCGGTTTCCTGTTTATAGACCTCAATAATGTCTTCAATTATTTCCCAGTGTTTATCCTTGCTTATGTCCGAAACAAATGGCTGCAAGGAAAATATGCAATGTTATTTAAAATATTAATGTTTTTATGCTTCCAAACTTACTGTATACCACATAGAGGCATCATCTGATTCATCGGTTAGTGGTACTTGTACACCGTATGTTTGTAGGGCTAACGATAGACAGCAAATGGCAATGTGTGTTGGTTTGTGATTAAGAATTTTGTTTGAATGATGAAAATCTTGTAGAAATGATGCTGCTGTTTTAGCTATGGGCACTGATGACCAGACATTGCTACCCAACCAGTCTTGTAATGTTTTCATATAGTAGAGTAAGAACTGCAAAAAAATTAGAAAACAAATTTTCAACATCTCTCGATAACTTGTATATACATATAGACAATTTTCGATAACTCTTTCTCCGTAGTCGAAAAGATCGTTTTTATCACTATAGAGAAACATTTTGTTAATTATTGATAACTTTTTCTATAGAAAATTAACTATAACTTTCCTCTATAGAGAATTATATCAATAGTTATCGATAACTTTTCTTTATTTATAGAAAATATTGGAAATTATCGATAACTTTTCTTTTTTTGAGAAAAATGTCGAAAGTTAGGACATTATTCGTTATACAAAGAAAATTTTTAATAATTTTGGACAGATTTTCTATATTTAGAGAAAAAATATTGATAATTATCAACAACTTTTCTATTTAGAGACAATTATCGATAAATTTTCTATATTTGGAGAATTTTTTTTTTAATTATCGATAAGTTTTCTCTATAAAGACAAAAAGTATCAATAATTATACTTTATTTTCTTAATATATAGAAAAATATCGATATTTTATCGATAACTTTTCTCCAAGGATAAAAATTTTGACGACTATAAATAAATATCAAATATAAATGAACATTTTCGATAAATCTTCTTTAAATAGAGAAAATGTTCGATATCTTTTATCTATATAAAATGAGCGATAAGTTTTCTCTATATACAGAACATTAATCGATAACATTACAAGAGAAAACTTTCATTAACTTTCTATAATAATCGATAAACATTCAGCCATCAATTTACCTTATGTGGATGTTCAATATTCAAATCAAATTTCAATGTGCGAGCTATTAGTAATTCCGCCTGAACAATAGCATCACGCATTGACCAATATTCATCGCCCAGCTCTAATGGCGAAGCTCCACGATTAAGAGTACTGTGAGCTACATTTATAACATCACGAATTTTAACAGGATCATCTTTGATTTTTCCAGCCAAATAAAGGGATGAAGCAGCAATTAACTACAATGATTTTGGAGGAAAAATTCAAATACATAATTGTATTAATAAATTGTACCATATGGAGCGTAGAAAAATCGATGTTCTTCCATATGGTGTGGAATTGTTTGCAATTAGAATTGCTCTTCAAATTTACTTACATATTCATCATAATCAGTGGTATCGACTTCTCTAAAGAATCGATGATAAATTATAGCAGCACTGGCTGATGTCAAAGGTTTTATTTGTAACTTAATGGCACATTCAAACAAGAAACGAGCCACTACGCCAGGTTTGTCAATTTTTCTATACATTAAAAAAACATAAAAGTAAAATTAATAATTAACTAAATATTGAATTATTAACAAATATTGAATCTATGAAAGAGAAATTAATTACCTGTAGTCGGTGGGTTTGACTTTTTGTAATTTACTCTCTTGGGCACGATTTTGCAAAGACAATACATCCACAATGTTCTTCATATTTGTAGTAGTTGTGTCGATGGTTTGATTGTTTGTAGCTGGAATATTTATTTCAGTTGTAGGTGTTGAAAAGAAGTCAAACTTCCTTACACGTGGAGGTTTTGCTTTGAATTTTCAAGAAGCTAAGTCTGAGGCAAAGAATTGAAAGTGAAATTTTCTTTGTTAATTGAATATTTATTATAGTAGATACTTAGGCATACACATATATTTTAGTGACCCCCTAATTAATATATATACTAAAAAATCAGGTCAATCAACTTATGGAAACACTTTTATATTTTTACTGAAACCTTTTTTAATTTCAGCATTTCTTTTAACATAAATTAAGTCATTCAATTTACATTCTACTTTGTGTGTAAAAGAAAACTAGTTTGACTTACATTTTATTTAATAAATTTTCAATATTTTATTGGGAGGAGAAATTTGTTTGTGTGTGTTATTAATAATAAAAAAAACTTGTATATTTTCTCGAATGCAAGTAAACTAAACAAATGCACGAGATGTATTGAAACATCGATACAGGGTTGTTTTGTTTATATACCGGTTCTTATTTGTCTTCTTCTTTTTATTGTCTAATAACAGGGTTGATATTCTTGTTTAATATAAAGAGTTGCCATATTAGAGGTAGCATAGTGGTGGGTTATTAGCGATACATATTTTTGAAAATCAAGAAATAACTGTAAATTTGTAAAAGCAGGCTACACAGAAAATATAATAACAACTCTAAACTTATTAAGGAATATTTTATTTCAACAAAATTTAATTTAAAATTGTGTTTTAAATTAAATTTATTATAAGGAAGATTAACGTTATTTTTAATTATTTGAATAATCTGGCAACATTTCAAACAGGATGTTGTTATAAACACCAAATAAAGGAAGAGTTGTATTTGCAACTGCATACAAAAAGGAAAAAACATAACAATACCAACAACAACAACAATAACATGTTTACTGTTAAAAAAATCTACCACACATTTTACAGACATTTATTGATTTTCCTATAAGATATACTTTATTCTCGCTAAATACAAACAGAAAAAATACAAAAATTTGCACTAATAATTAAAAACAAAAAAGAAAATTAACTAAAATAAATAAATTTAAATAAAAACAACAACTACAATAACTATAAAGTAAGTTCAGTGTAATTAAGAAAATCTAAAAAAATAAACAAATTTACGTTTCATATCACGAAAGTGTGGAAAATTCTATTATGTATTTTTCTTCGTTGGTGCACAAAATATGAACAAATTATAAATAAACTAATAAATTATTAATAATAAATAAAATTTATTATTGTTTTTAGAATTCAAAGTAAAATATTTGTAAATGACCCTGAACTTTTAGAAATAGATAAATAGAAATTAAAAAGATTTTCTCGTTTAAGTTTATTTTGATGGACAATAAAATAAACACAGGAGAATTAAAAAAGTGAATTCATTAAAGATTAAAAAACATAAATCGGAAATGATTTGTAAGTGTTAAACATCGCAATTTAATATGAACAATGGTCCATGGTATTAACGAGAGAATAGACTGTTCTGAGTCTTGACTAGAGACCAGTCTATAATCTTGGCTATAGACCAGTCTAAAGTCTTGGCTATAAACAAGTATGTGTTATTACATCGCGATTTAATAAGAACAATGGTTTAGAAACTTGCCTATAGACTGTTCTGAGCCTCGACAAGAGACCAGTCTAAAGTCTTGGCTATAAACAAGTATATAACCTTGACTATAGACCAGTATATAGTCTTGTCTAAAGACCCGTCTATAGTCTACACGAAATCTCAAGGGCTTAGATCTAACAAAGAATTCATTCCTTCAAATAATTGAATGTGATTAACAAAAATACAACAAAAATAATAACAGATGACAGCTAAAAGACAGAGTGTCTTTTTGAAAATATACATATATAAGAAAATAAATATGTAGTTGGGAACTTTTTTTGGTCCATATGAGTTTATTTTCTATTCTTAAAGAACTTATTTGAAAATTAAACAAAATATACAAAAGACAGGAGCGTTAACAGCAGTTTCCACATTAACGGGGAAAAACAAAGACATTTCCTTTAACCATAAATACGCCTCTGCAATACATTAGTATATTATTAAAATATAAATAAAACTAAATCGAAATTTTGCAAATGTATTTTCATTAATGAAAGAATTAAAGTTTCAATAAATTTTTATAATTTCCACTGTTTGATTTATTTAAGATTTCTACAAATAAATTTTGTATTTATTTTGACCACAAACTTTCGTTTATATAAAATAATTTAGTTTATAATAAAAAAAATTATTACAAAAACAACAACAACATGTTTATTACTAATAAAATATAAAAAGATGAACATTTATTTTTTTATAGCAAACATGCAGATTTTTTAAGGAAAATCTATAGGGGTTTTCAATGTTTATTTATTGTTGTTTTTTAAATTTTATTTTCTTTTATTTTTCAAACTTGTTGTTGTTGTTTAGCTTTATATGTACATATGATGAGTATGACGAGACCGCGAAAACTCGCAGAAAAAAAAACCACACACGACTACGACAATAGAAATATAGTATTGGCACAGTGTTTAAATGCGATTTGTTGTTATTAAAAAACTTTATTTAAAATTTTTTAAAAAGTTTTAAATTTGTCTGTAGTTCATTACTGCTATTATAAGCCTCTAAGGAAACTCCACATCTCGTTCAATGAGAGGTTAAAAGCTTTACCTGGAGTTTGTATTAAATTAACGATTTGGCGATTGATTGGTTAATGCTATTGAAACTGGAGTCATAATTCGAATACTAACTAACTACTAACTAACTACTACTAACTAACTAACTAACTAACTAACTAACTAACTAACTAACTAACTAACTAACTAACTAACTACTAACTAACTACTACTAACTAACTAACTAACTACTACTAACTAACAACTAACTAACTAACTAACTAACTAACTAACTAACTAACTAACTAACTAACGAACTAACTAACTAACTAACTAACTAACTACTAACTAACTAACTAACTAACTAACTAACTACTAACTAACTAACTAACTACTAACTAACTAACTAACTAACTAACTAACTAACTAACTAACTAACTAACTACTAACTAACTAACTAACTACTACTACTAACTAACTAACTAACTAACTAACTAACTAACTAACTAACTAACTAACTAACTAACTAACTAACTAACTAACTAACTAACTAACTAACTAACTAACTAACTAACTACTAACTAACTAACTAACTAACTAACTAACTAACTAACTAACTAACTAACTAACTAACTAACTACCTAACTAACTAACTAACTAACTAACTAACTAACTAACTAACTAACTAACTAACTAACTAACTAACTAACTAACTAACTAACTAACTAACTAACTAACTAACTAACTAACTAACTAACTAACTAACTAACTAACTAACTAACTACTAACTAACTAACTACTACTAACTAACTAACTACTAACTAACTAACTACTAACTAACTAACTAACTAACTAACTAACTAACTAACTACTAACTAACTAACTAACTAACTAACTACTAACTAACTAACTAACTAACTACTAACTAACTAACTAACGACTAACTAACTAAACTAACTAACTAACTAACTAACTAACTAACTAACTAACTAACTAACTAACTAACTAACTAACTAACTACTAACTAACTAACTACTAACTAACTAACTAACTAACTAACTAACTAACTACTAACTAACTAACTAACTAACTAACTAACTAACTAACTAACTAACTAACTAACTAACTACTAACTAACTAACTAACTAACTAACTAACTACTAACTAACTAACTAACTAACTAACTAACTAACTAACTACTAACTAACTAACTAACTAACTACTAACTAACTAACTAACTAACTAACTAACTAACTAACTAACTAACTAACTAACTAACTAACTAACTAACTAACTAACTAACTAACTAACTAACTAACTAACTAACGAACTAACTAACTAACTAACTAACTAACTAACTACTAACTAACTACTAACTACTAACTAACTAACTACTAACTAACTAACTAACTACTAACTAACTAACTAACTAACTACTAACTAACTAACTAACTAACTAACTAACTAACTAACTAACTAACTAACTAACTAACTAACTAACTAACTAACTAACTAACTAACTAACTAACTAACTAACTAACTAACTAACTACTAACTAACTAACTAACTAACTAACTAACTAACTAACTACTAACTAACTAACTACTAACTAACTAACTAACTAACTAACTAACTAACTAACTAACTAACTAACTACTAACTAACTAACTAACTACTACTAACTAACTAACTAACTACTAACTAACTAACTAACTAACTAACTACTACTAACTAACTAACTAACTAACTACTAACTAACTAACTAACTAACTAACTAACTAACTAACTAACTAACTACTAACTAACTACTAACTACTAACTAACTAACTAACTAACTACTAACTAACTAACTAACTAACTAACTAACTACTACTAACCTAACTAACTAACTAACTAACTAACTAACTAACTAACTAACTAACTAACTAACTAACTAACTAACTAACTAACTAACTAACTAACTAACACTAACTACTAACTAACTAACTAACTAACTAACTAACTACTAACTAACTAACTAACTAACTAACTAACTAACTAACTAACTAACTAACTAACTAACTAACTACCTAACTAACTAACTAACTAACTAACTAACTAACTAACTAACTAACTAACTAACTAACTAACTAACTAACTAACTAACTAACTAACTAACTAACTAACTAACTAACTAACTAACTAACTAACTACTAACTAACTAACTAACTAACTAACTAACTACTAACTAACTACTACAACTAACTAACTACTAACTACTAACTACTACTAACTACTAACTAACTACTACTAACTAACTAACTAACTAACTAACTAACTAACTAACTACTAACTAAACTAACTAACTAACTACTAACTACTAACTACTAACTAACTAACTAACTAACTAACTAACTAACTAACTAACTAACTAACTAACTAACTAAGCTAACTAACGAACTAACTAACGAACACAACCTACTAACTAACTACTAACTAACTAACTAACTAACCCTAACTACTAACTAACTAACTAACTAACTAACTAACTAACTAACTAACTAACTACTAACTAACTAACTAACTAACTAACTAACTAACTAACTACCTACTAACTAACTACTAACTAACTACTAACTACTACTAACTAACTAATCTAACTAACTACTAACTAACTACTAACTAACTAACTAACTACTAACTAACTAACTACTAACTAACTAACTAACTAACTAACTAACTACTACACTAACTAACTACTAACTAACTAACTAACTAACTAACTAACTAACTAACTAACTAACTAACTAACTAACTAACTAACTAACTAACTAACTAACTAACTAACTAACTAACTAACTAACTACTACTAACTAACTAACTACGAACTACTAACTAACGAACTAACTAACTCTAC